AGAAAACAAAAACACACAGAAACAGTTTTCAGTCATTTATGATCGAACAAACAATAATCATTTTTAAAAAGCCTTCAGACTAAATGACCGCAACTTAAAAGTTCTCCAAACAGAGTGCCTACATTCTGGATTGGAACTGATTTCTACTGAAGAAATTATTTATTTAAAGATGGTCAACAATGTGGCCAGTAGGGAACCCCTCCAACCCGCTAAGACCTCCTCCCTTTCCCTTTAACCCCTTCTTTTTTATGTAATAACAAAATCACTGCACTGAAGGTTATAAAAGTATGTGTGTAACCCTGAATCGATTCATAATTTCCTCGTGAAAACTGCAGACACAGCGAGCCACAGTGCATTCCAGGACATGGGAATTTGTTGCTGTGACTTTATTCCAGATATTGTACTCCTCTTCTCTATAAATCTTACCGCTCTAACAATTTTTTAGCAATATGGTTATTCAGATCAGCCTCTTGAGATAAAGCAAGTTGTAACCAAAGGTAAAATTCCTTACATATGTTGTTTCTTTGATAATATCAACCCCCTCCAAGAAGAAGGGTGTTGGTGTCCTATTACACTTGGCTTCGCACGCCATCAGTCTCATTACAGTGGCTCAAGGTTTGCGTGTCTGGAGGAGAGAGAAAAAGAGAACTCCCTTTAGCCCACATGTGCCTGGGTTTTTTTTTTCAGGGGGAGGGGAGAAGGAACATCCAAAGTAAATAAAGATGACTCCGCTCAAACTGATAGGCAGTACATGCAGTGTGTATGTGACTTCCTGATCTTACTAGAGTTTGGCGGTGGATACGATTATAATTGCTGTTAAATGCACCTGTCATAGAGGTTAGCATGATAAATGTGTTGAGTGTAAGCGGACTTCACAGGACACAAAAGAATGATTAACGGGAGATGGAACTGTGCATGCTAGACTTCCCCCACTTCCCTCCCATAGGAATCCCTTCTCCGCCTGTCTTCCTGTTGTGTAATAGGCCAAGCCCAAATGCAGCCTGAACTTCCTGCAGAATACACACACACCCCCTCCACTTGCCCAAATGCATAAAGCCTCCGCTACGTCTCACACCAAACCAGCTTGCAGTACAGAGAGGAGGCAATGAGCAACGGGATGTGGTTTCCTACTCTGGGGCTGCTGGCCACGCTGTGCTGCTTCAGCATGGGGCCGGTTCAAGGGGGGAAGGTGCTGGTTATGCCTGTGGATGGAAGCCACTGGCTCAGCATGAAGATATTGGTGAAGGAACTCATGCGCAGGGGCCATGAAGTCGTAGTGCTGGTGCCAGAAAGCAGCCTGTTGATCCAAGGCTCAGAGAGCTTCAGGACAGAGATTTACAAAGTGCCTTACACCAAAGCTGACCTGGAGGGAACTTTCAACGAAGATGTGTTCCTCAAACCCCCAGAATTTGCAGATTTGATAGTGAATATAAAGCTACTGGTCGACTTTACTTCACTCCAGGTGAAAGGTTGTGAGAGTTTGCTGGACAATAAGCCTTTGATGAATCGACTGAGGGAGCAGGGTTTTGATCTTGTGCTTACAGACCCCTTCCTTCCTTGCGGGTCTGTCCTGGCTCATATGTTTTCCATTCCAGCTGTTTATTTCCTTCGTGGGATTCCATGTGAGCTGGATATGAAGGCTAACAAGTGTCCTTCTCCTCCTTCCTATGTTCCAGTGTTTTTCTCTGGAAATACAGACTCGATGACTTTCTCAGAGAGAGTAAAAAACTTTGTAATGTATGGTGTGCAGTCCTACACTTGCACAATACTCTATCCTCACTTTGACGATCTAGTCAGCAGGTATATAGGAGAGATTTCAACTTATCAAGAACTTGTCAGCCACGGGGCTATCTGGCTTCTCAGATATGACTTTACCTTTGAATGGCCCAGACCTCTCATGCCAAACATGGTGTTAATTGGAGGGATCAACTGTGCAAAGAGGGCTCCCCTGCCAGCGGTGAGTATGTGAATATATGAACGCAAGTGTAAACAAGCACGTGTCACGTCTGGATTTAATCAAGCCAAATCACATATACTCAGAGCTTACTGAAAAGCAGAGAATCAGCAGTCATTAGTTTTATATGGAAGAGGAGGTCAGAAACTTTTCTAACAACAACTAACATGAACTGCTTAGTGAAGTGATCATTTGCATTAAGGGTTCTGGGAAAACAAGAGATCTGTTAGTTTCAAAAATAGAGATGCAAATTATTTTTGACAGTTTTTTTTAGTTTTACCAAGAAATGAGTTATGATACTGAGGGACAACTGGTTTTTCTGCTCTTCTGGAAAACAAAGAAACGTTAGAAAATAAATGCAGTTTCCCGAACGGTGGCCAGAATAGTCTAGGAAGAGAAGTGAGAGGCAGTGTTATGTCAACAGAGATCAAAAGCTGTACAGAACCAAACGGTTTGTTTATACACAAACAAGGAGGCTACAATACACAAACTGGTCATCAAATGAATTCTTTTTAGTATATTTTAAAAATAATGCATAAAAGCTGTCGGAAAAATGTCTTTGTTTTAGCTTTTTAACATTTTCATACATCTTACAGATTTTTTGTCTGTGTTTTTTCCTCCCCTCTCTGCAGGACTTGGAAGACTTTGTGAATGGCTCAGGAGATGACGGCTTCATTGTGTTTAGCATGGGTTCAGTGGTGTCCACCATGCCTGCAGAGAAAGCAAAGCACTTCTTAGACGCTTTTCGAAAAATACCTCAAAGGGTAATGATAACCTGATTAGCTCACTGTACATCAATGGAATCGATTCACTTTTTTATACTTCTGTTTAGGAAAAAGCTGGTTAATACACAGGATTCAGCCGCACGAGCCACACAAACATTTACACAATACCCAGAGATTTTCACACTGTGCAATGAGGCCAGATGTCTAATCGGATTAAAGTGCAGGACTTTGTCCTCTGCCTTGCCTTGCTCTAAACATACAAAACCCTCCATTTATTACTTATGTACTCTGCACAATGAACAGAGATGGTTTTATTTGTGTTTCAGGTCTTGTGGAGATACACTGGTGCACTACCTGATGATTTACCCAAGAATGTCAGAGTTATGAAGTGGTTACCTCAAAATGATCTCCTAGGTATGCATAGTCAAATAAGAAAATTATGGTGTGCTGCTGTAATATCACACCTTACAAGCTAAAAACATATGACACTGAGATGAAATTATCTACATGTGATTCATGGTTAATTCGACCTGTAACCGAGTTTGTGTCTGTGCTCCCTAGCCCATGCCAAGGCTAAAGTCTTCATCACTCATGGAGGCTCCCATGGTATCTATGAAGGTATCTGTAATGGTGTGCCCATGTTGATGTTTCCACTTTTTGGAGACCAGGGAGACAACGTGAATCGCGTGTTGGGCCGTGGCGCTGCTTTGAAACTCAGTATATACGACGTGACAACTGAACAGCTACTGGGTGCGCTAAAGAAACTTATCTATGACAAAAGGTGAGGAAACTGGTTATTGAATTAAAATGCACTGAAGAATGCAAAAAAAAATGGTGTTGAAAATACTGTGATTAACATATTTATTGGACCCACATCATAAAAACAAGACTAAAAATCACTAAATTTATATTTTTTTATCAAGTTGGCACACTAGAAATTAATCAAGCATAACCTTCGACCATTAAAAATGCTTTTCCTGTTAAGGAATGCAAGTTAATAACTTTAAAACTATGTGGACATGCTTGGTGAATCAGTAACTGGAAAACATTAAACCTTTAACAAAATATTACCTGTCCTCAGGTACAAAGCAAAGATGATGGAGCTTTCAGCGATACACCTAGACCGTCCCACTGAGCCTGTGGACCTAGCTGCGTTTTGGACCGAGTTTGTCATGAGACACAAAGGAGCTTCGCATCTCAGAGTGGGCGCTCATGATTTGAACTGGTTTCAGTACCACAGCTTGGATGTGCTGTCGTTTTTCGCCGTCATTCTCATAACAGTTGTGTGGATGACAGTGAAATGCTGCCAATTTTGTATCCGCAAGTGTTGCGGGAAAGGAACTGCAAAAAGAAAATCTGAATAGTGTTTATATCCATTGCATTCTTTAATTTTTACATATTCAGTGACAAAGCTAATTGTTGAAACACTGCACTGAACTTTCAGCTGGATGTATTGTATGAGTGTTTTATGTGTTCAATGTGAAATCTCAGCCAAAGTGTTATTACCAGTGTAAGTTACTTTAAAATAGTAACTTAGCTACATTACTAGCTACTGCTATCAAAAGTAACTCAGTTACTTCAAGTTACTTGTTACTTTAAAAGTAACTAGTTACTAGGGAAAGTAACTTTGCTTTTACTCAATAGGAATAGGGAGATGTAGGTAACACCAGGCTGCAGATGAGCTGCATACAGGGCTGGACTGGGAC